AAGAAGATTTTGAAGCCTTACCTCTTATTTGCAGGTTTCAGTTTTCAGCCCTCTTATGTTATAGTTTATTCCTTCAAGTTGTCATTTAATTTCGGTTATAGGGTACATCTTTAATTTGTTTTGGTTCATCTTATGGAGTAATGGATTGTTTTGGGTGATTTTATTTGTTGATTGGTATGTTCGATTTCTTTTGTAGAGCTTGAAAAGCTAACCCAGATGCTTCAAGAGGTTTGTGAGCTACTTTTTACTCAAACTCTTAAAAATCGTTGTTTATTTTTAAATTGCTTTTTAAATTGTGCGTGTTTTGATTTCTGAATTTCGATGTTTTTGATGTTGGTTCTTACTGATTTCGATTGTGTCAGGGTCTCTGTTTGAGCTTAATTATTTGATTTTTGAAAATTTTAAAATCAAAAAGAGAATGGCTGCCCTCTCTAGATCCGAGACTGACTTTCAGTGCAAGAAATCACCACCATCACGGTGCAGCTTTGGGTTGCTCATCAGGGTATACAAAGATGGGCATGTTGAAAGGCCACCTATCATTCTAAATGTCCCTTGTAGCATTCATTCTGAGCTAAGGGTCAGTAACCTCTTGCTTTGGCAACTGGCTTTTTGGATTTTAAGTTCTGTTTATTTTGATGGGTTTTAGGGTCTTATTGTCTAAAATTAAATTTGCTATGGGAAGGAAGAAGAGAGGCGTGATAAAATGGGATAGAGGAGGGCGTAGAAAAAGGAAAAGGCGGAGGAGGGTGGGGAATGGATGAGTTGGGTGCTTGATTGTATCATACTCCATCATGTGGTTGAAAGCCGCTGCAATGGGATTTTATGGGGAAAAAATGGGGTGTTTCAATTGTGAGGGATTTTAGTTTTGGGGCCCTTGGAAGGAGGGTAGCGAATTTTGGGAAGGAATAGGGGACTTTTCAAAACTAAGTTTACACGCTTATTCCCTTTGTAATGAATCAATTTAGAATGCATTCTTTTTGCTTTGCTTTGTGTTTAAGGCATAATGTAATCAGTAATACTAAAAGTCTTATGTGAAATAGAGGTGTCCACCGTGCGAGTCGTGCGAGCTGGGTTAGGGTTAGGTGGGTCGCGGGTTGGGGTTTCATGACACACGGCACGACACACGTAGGGTAGGGTGGGCCGGGTCGTGGGTTGGGTCGGAGAAGTTGGACACACCAGGGTTAGGTTCGTGGGTTAGACGAGTCGTGGGTGGGTCGAGCTGGGTTTGTGGGTTAGACGGATCGTGGGTGGGTCGAGCTGGGTTTGTGGGTTAGACGGGTCATGGGTGGGTCGAGCTAGGTTCGTGGGTTAGACGGGTCAAGGTGGGTTAGTGAGTTAGGGTGGGTCGAAGGGTGGGTTAGTGGGTTAGGGTCGGGTGGGTTTGTGGGTTAGGTGGGTTAGGGTCGGGTGGGTTAGTGGGTTAGGGTCGGGTGGGTTTGTGGGTTAGGTGGGTTAGGGTCGGGTGGGTTTGTGGGTTAGGGTCGGGTGGGTTCGTGGGTTAGGGTCGGGTGGGTTGTGTGGTGTTTTAATTTTTACAAAATTAACAATTTGATGGCTTGCTCTTAATTAAGATGCCTACGTATCCTTATATTATAAAATAAGGAATCAAAGCCAGCGTATTTCTTATATTGTACTTCTTTTGAAATTTGGGGGGGGGGGGCTTGGACCTATCTTTAGAAAACTAAAATTTAATTTTGCAATTAAATTGTAATTTTCGAAAAATAAGTTGCCTACGTATCCCGAAAGAATCAAAGCCCACGTAGTTCTTAGCGTACCTGATTTAGACTTTTCTAGCCACCCATGTTTGTTGCATCATCATCCCCGGAAGCTGCATCATCCGTTGACGACTCCAATATCATCACAGGATCATCTTCATCGTCTTCGTCTTCCTTTAAACCTTGAGTTCTTCTTTCAGCTTGATCCCAATCTTTCTTACAAACACAAATTTGAATGCTTTCCGGAGTTAAGCGAGATCTTTTTTCATCTAACACTCTTCTACCTGCACTAAAAGCAGACTCGGAAGCAACAGATGAAGCGGGAACTGCAAGTATATCTTTTGCAATTCTCGCCAATATAGGAAAACTTTTTTTATGTTCTTGCCACCATTTTATAATTTGAAAGTTGTTGTTGGTCTCATGTTGATATGACAAATAATCATTAATAGCAAGTGTTGAAGAAGATGATGATGAGAATGATGTAGATGCTTTGTGTTTTTTTTTCATAACTTTATCAAGAAAACCAAATCTAGAATCGGAAGTGCTAGTAGTAGTTGGTGTTGCCAAATCAAAACCATAAATAGATGCATAATGATCATAAAGGTCTCCCAAAACAGATTTGCATTTGTTAATATATTCACTAACATCATAATCGATACTTAAACTTGTATAATAAAATTCTAAAAGATTTTCCAAACCTTCAGCTTTGACACCGGGGTCAAGAATAGCAGCAATTCCATAAATGATTGGAAATTCACTAAAATAAGTATGCCACTTACGTTTCATGCTATCAAGAACGGGACGAAGTCCATCAATCTTCATATGCTCTTCGATGGTGTGAACAACTTTAACACACTCAATTATGACTAAATGAACGTTAGGCTCATAAATATAAGAGAAAATATGAGTTGCACTATCAAAAGCATTTAAAACATCACGAACAAAAGAAGCATTAGTCCAATGACTTTCGGTTATTAACTCAGTAGGATCAACACGAGTCTCATTGTAAAGTTGGGTCAAAATATCACGATACTTTATAGCATCACTCAACAACTTGAAAGTAGAATTCCAACGGGTAGGGGTATCAATAGACCATTGTCTTTTCTTAAGACCTCTCTCTTTACACATAGCTATGTACTTTCTTCTAACTGACTGAGTAATCCTAATCCATTTTATAACTGTTCTAATTGGGTTTAGCAATGGTTGCAACTCAGCGAGACCCTCTTGAACAGACAAATTCAAAATATGAGCACAACATCTAACATGCAAGAGACTACCACCCAACAACAAATTCAACTCGGAGTCATTTTTCAAATAGTCAATACACTTTGTGTTTGCAGTTGCATTATCAAGAGACAAAGAAAAAACTTTATTATTCAAGTGAAATTCTTTTAAACAATCCAAAATACGAACTTTGATGTTAAAACCGGTATGCCTTTCTTCCATAGCTTGAAAACATAGTATACGTTTTTGAATAAACCAATCATCATCCACCCAATGAGCAGTAATGCAAAGAAAAGGTTCGCCAAAACTAGAAGTCCATGTATCACTTGTAAAACTAACACGACCATCAAAAGTACGAAATAATTCAATCAAACCACTCCTATACTTATAATAAGAAGTTTGTGTATAACGTCTTAGGGTATTTCGGGGGACACGAGTAAATGCAGGTTGTAATGCAACTTTATTAAAATGCTCAACGTTTGCATTTTCACCGTAACTAAAAGGGTATTCATTAGCAATAACTAAAGTACTCATTTCATCAATCATTCTATCTTTATTATAAATGAAAGGTGTACCTCCGCCGGGTTGGTTCATGTATCCACCCAATTGTGTTTGGACGCCACCCCCCGAAGGACGGGGGCCATTTTCGAACAAGTCGTGTTTATTTTGCAAATGCCGACTCAAGGTTCCGGTTCCATCTCCCGTTTTCCAATTATATGACTTGACATTTGCACCTAGCGCCTTGCAAACTAGGCATGTACACGTGAACCTCTTTGGTTGACCAGGTTGCCATCCCGGGGGTGTGACCTCAACTCGTTCAAAATGTTTCCACACCCAAGAAAAATGTGCTCGACCTCTACTTTCACCGCCACCACCTTTCATAAATCAAATTATTAAAATTAATTTTTAAATGCTATTCATGAAAATAAGCTTTTAAATTTTAAATATTTTAATTATACTTATTTAAACGCATTTTTCATGGTAATTAACTAATTGTAAATCATAGAAAATTGGAAACTAAACTAACTTTATAATCATTAATAATAGTTTTTTTAAATATTCATAACAATAAAAATTTAATTAGAAATTACCTTGAGATGAAGGTTGAGATGTTGGTTGCGATGGAGGTGGCATAGTTGAACTTGATGATTGGTGGGACTCGTGGGAGAAATGTTGTGGTGGAGACGTTTGAATATTTTGCCTATCTCCTAAACCATAATCTCCATATTCATTGACAAATTGGTTTAAATTTTCCGTATTAATTTCATACGAAAAATTTGCACCACCACTCCTTTGGCTACCACTTCGACCACCACTTCGACTCCTTCCCATTCCTCCTCTTGAGCTCATTTTTTTTTTGTATGATTACTAATTATAATATGGAGAAGAACTTTTTTTTTTTAGAATCTTAAGAATACTAATAATAATATTAAGGAGATTTTTTTTAACAAAAATATAACTCTATATAACACTTGAGAATTTGAGAACAATAAGAATTTTTAAGTAAGAGAGAAAGAAAGCTTGAATTTGTGTGGAAATTTGAGTGAAATGGAATTGGTATTTATAGGAAAAATAGAATGGATGATCATACACTTAAAAAACTAGCCGTTAGATACAAAAAACTAGCCGTTAGATACAAAAAACTAGCCGTTTTTTTTTTTAAAATGGATGTTAGGCCGTGCGGGCCGTGCGGGTCGTGCGAATTGTGCGGGCTGTGCGGGCCGTGCGGGTTGTGCGGGCCGTGCGGGTTGTGCCGGCCGTGCGGGTTGGGTGGGTCATGCGTGCGGGTTGGGTGGGTCATGCGTGCGGGTTAGGTGGGTTGGCTCGTGCGGGTTGGGTGGGTCATTCGTGCGGGTGGGCCGTGCGGGCTGGGTTGTGCCAGGTGGGTCGGGTTAGGTGGGTTCACGGGCTAGGTGTGTCGAATTAAATGAGTCAAAACGGGTTGTGCGATTTGGGTCGAATCAAACGGGTTAAACTGAGCTGGGTTGAAATGGGTTGTGTCGAAAATTTTGGACCCACGACACAACCCGGATTAAATCCGAGCTGTGCCGGGCTGTGCCGGATTGAAACCGGGTCGGACCCACGTGACCCACCAGCCGTGCGAGTTAGGGTGGGCTGGGTCCAACCCGGCTCACTGGCCACCTCTATGTGAAATGTATCATGAGAAAGAGTTTTTTAAAAGTTGGGAAAAGCTGAAGTTGAGGGTTTCCAGCTTTCAGATATTGAATTATAGTCTTCAAACATCTTTAGTTTGCTTGAGTTGATTGGAGTTTGGATTGCTCAAGTTAGACTGTCAGAGTATATGTCATGGTGTTGTTTGATATTGCCCATATATTTAAGGAGATCCTTGAATCAAAAGCATAAACTTTAGGTTTCTGTGAGACTCCCCCCCACCCCCCCCCCCCCACACACACACACCCCACTTTTTTTATCCCATTCCCACCAGCTTATTCCAATCAACTGTACTGAACTTAATTTAATCTTTTATCTTGCTTCAGGGTACCAAAATGTTAATTGTTATCGTCCTTCGAAAGTAATATTTGGGCTCTGACTTTTTATAACAATCACATTGCTGATAGTCTTCTGCTCTCTGTATAATCTCTAAGAATTCATCCATGACTGCAATGTAACAGTACCAATTGCTACAAGATCCTTACTCTCCTCTCGTCATTGCATTTTAGATATTCAGCATTTTAGATATTGAGCATGAGTGATATTATATATTTTTTCTCCTTATCTACATAATCCCTGATTGTCGGCAGCATGTTTTTTCTATCCGAATGGCAGAAATAAAGACCGGAATTATGGACTAATAGAGGAACTTCTGTCTGATAAGAATCCTGCATTATACAAAAAAAATCACTCATGCTGAATATCTCAAGCATCATAGTGTACATGGAAGTCGCTGCTCCAAAGATCTTCCTCATATCAAGCTTTAATCTATTTCGATCAGTACTAACCATATGTAACTACTGGTATAATCATGCAACTATGACAAGATCTTTTCCTCATTATAAGAGTAAAATTTCTCATTAAACCCCCATAATTTGACTCTATGACTCACCAATCAGTTAAACCACAAACCAACAGTATTAACAACAAATCTTGCATAAAAATGCAAGTGAAACACTTGCAAAAAGTGCACATAAATTTTTAAATATGTGGTTGTTATAAAGGGAGATTTATTCTTTAAAAAAATCTGTTATTATTTTATTATTTATATATACATGTGACTGGTTGAGGAATGGAATTCACAGCATAAATGTTCACTAAGAAGTATGGAATGCACAGTGTTAATTTCAGCAGTACAGAATACCTAATGAGAGGTATGGCATTTGTTGCTCAATTATTCGTTTGTTTACACAAAGAAACAAGCTCAACATCAACTTATCAGCTATGGAAGGTATGATCTATCTTTTCTGCAATAATTTCTCATAGTAGCATTTTACATACCTGCAGTACTTAAACATATTCTCTGACAAACTCCTTGAGCTTTACATGTTTACTTCAGTCAAGAATAAGGTGTTGAATAAAAATATGTAGATTGTTCTATAAAGCTACTACTAATCAGAATATTCTATGAACATTTATATATACAGATAAAAAATACAGAACACCTAGACAAAAACCAGAGTATCTATATTTGGATCAGTTAAATGCAACAAGCAAAGCTTACATAGTGAGGATAGTAGTTGCTGTAAAGGGAAGAGACATACTATCTTCCAAAAAAACTGTCAGATTTCAGACTTTGCTCCTAAAAGATGAAAAGGTATATATTTAATGATTTTTATGTTACTGTTTGTTACAATATGTTTCATGCATGATAGTATAGAAAGACTGATAAGTATAAATAGTTACTATGACCCAATTAAATGATCCTGATTTTGAAAATCATGTATTGGTGCAATTTTACTACAATCAGACAAAAAGAAACTTTTTGCTGTAATTAAAACAATTATATAGTTAAGACAAGGTTAACTCAGCTCATGTTACTGTAATAATAAAAAAATATGATATTATTTAAGATATAGCTTTTTTATAAAAAAAAGGTATACTAGGATTAAGATATGGTTTTATAAACTGTGCTATAATTCAAATTATCATGCAAGTCTGGTTATATCTAACATATAAACAAGATATAAATTAAGCTTCTTTTAAAATAGCATTAGAAGAAACATGTTACCATGCTACTGTTAAAACTATGATATATTCTTAAATGCATAAAATAAACTTCTAATGTGTTAATGCTTTTATGCACTCTTTTATACACTCAGACAAAAATCTTATATATGATGTAAAATAGCAAATATTTAAAAGTTAATTCTCCTTATTTCAATATCATAGAAATATGCTCCATATCATAAATCCAAAACTTTGCTTTATAGGGTAATAGGATGCGAGGTACTTTATTTGGAGATCAAATTGAAACTTTTGAAGAAGCATTGCAATATTTGGTTGAGTATGACATTTCTGCTGCATCAATCAAATTTATAGATGAAAAATGGAGGACTAACCTTGATCAGTTCCCTTAACAAATGACTTTTGGTAGTAGAACTGTGATCCAGCCAGTTCATCCAGAGCTTGGACTAGTTCTACCTAATTATCAACCTATTGCAACTATACCTCGTGCAGTGGATCCTGACGAGAGATACGGTATAATGAAATTCCCTTATGTATTCTAAATAATAGAAATACTAAACAACTTTTCTTTATCAACAGATGTTGTAGGTGTGGTGCTCTATGTTGAGGAAGAACCTAGAAGAGTTGAAGGCAAAGATGGAGGGCGAGAAAGCTTGGTGCGAGAAATTGTTATCCTGATCAAAGGTTACATTTCGATGATCTCAATGTCTACATACCAGAAATATATATTTTTTGACACACATTACAAATTACAGATACTAAAAATATATATATCATCTAACAGCTGTGATCATCCACTCACCATCTCTCTCTGGAATGACCTTACGGCTCCAAAGTACTTTGACAGATTAGGAAATTGGGCAGAAACATTCCAAGTTATAGGATTCAGGGCTATTAAGCCTTATACTCGCCGTGGTAAAGCATATATTGCTGAAATTGAATTGCTTAAATGATTCTTTACTATTAGTATATAACCACTTAATGTTTTGATTAGGATTTTCAAAGAATTCTGGTATGTCCACCCGAATAATATATGAACCTAAAGAAGATCGCGCTCGTGCGCTATGTGACTGGTAATTTCCTCTAACCAAATGTAATAGCAAAAATAACACTAAATTAGAAATTACACTAGTAGAAAAATACAAATAGGCAACCCCCTAATGGCACCGGTTCAGGTCAAACTGGTGGCAAAAACCGGCCTAAAAATGGGCGGGTTTTTAAACAAAGAGAAATGGCACCGGTTCAGCTCAAACCGGTGGCAAAAATAAAAAAGGCACCGGTTTGAACCGGTGCCTTTACGAACCGGTTCGTTTAATAATTAAAAAAAAACCGCCCATATAACTACCCCCCAACCCTAATTTTTTCAGCCGTTTCTCTCTCCTCCTCCTCCTCCTCTTTCTCTCTCCTCCTCTTTCCTTCTTGCTCGCCGATCTCCTTCATTTCTTTATCTTTCTGGATCTCCTCCTCCTTTCTATCACTTGAAGACTACCAACAATTCGAAGACAACAACATGCAACACCGATTTTTATTTTTTAATCGATTTCTTGGTTTTTTTACCATTTTAATCGATTTCTGAGTTTTTCGATTTCAATTTTTTTTAATTTCAATTATTTCGATTTTGATTGTTTATTCCGATTTCTGGTTTTTTACAATTCGAATTTAATAGTTTTTTTTGTTTATGTTTTTTTTTTTTAATTTCGATTTCTGGGTTTCTTTTTTCGATTTTGTTTTTTTTTTTCTATTTCTGTGTTTTTTTTTTCGATTTCAATTTTGATTGTGTTTTTTTCGATTTTGATTTTGTTTTTCGATTTCAATTTTGATTTATGGGTTAATTTTCTGTTAAAATGATTGATTATTTTGGGTTAATGCATGCGGTTTTGGGGTTTTTATTTTCGTGATTTTTAAGTTTTTTTCCTAGGTTTTTTTTTTCCATCTCAATTCTCTTCTAATTGGGGTTTTTTTTTCGATTTTCATTTTTGGTTATATTTGGATCTCTGGGTTTATTTTATTTTCGATTTCATTTTTGTTTTACGATCTCTGGGTTTATTTTTTTTTCTGATTTCAATTTATTTTTTCGATTTTCATTTTTTTTGTTTTCTCGAATACTGGGTTTTTTTCGATTTCTAATTTTTTTCTGGGTTTATTCGAATTTTTTTATATTTATTTTCTGGGTTTTTTTAATTGAATTTAATTTTATTTATTTTCTAGGGTTTTTTTTTTTTTTATGTTTTTCGATTTTGGTTTTTATTTTAATCGATTATTTTTTTTGGTTTTTATTTTTATTTTTCGATTTTCTTTTTAACTGATTTTCTGGGTTCAATTCTTATTAACTGGTGTTCTGGGTTTTTTTTTTCTTTTCAACTGATTTTCTTTTTTAATTTTTTGATTTTCTGGATTTTTTTAAAAAAAATTTCGCAGCTTAATTAAATCATTTTAATCGATTTATTTTGGTTATTTTAATTGGTGCAGGTACATGGATTTAGATCTTAAATCGAAGAATCAAGATGCAAGTATATTGATTTAGATGTTGTATAGGTTTTTTTTTATTGTGAAGTTGTAAATTTTTATTTTGATTTATATTGTAATTTTTTTTTTGATTTATATGTTGTAATTTTTTTTATTTTGATTTATATGTTGTAATTTTTTTATTGATATATACTGGAAATTTTTTTGATTATATATATTTTGAACAGATTTGATTATATTGATTGTGATGTTCGAATTATATTTTGTATTCTCATTTAATTTTAGTTTATTTAATTTTTAAGAAAAAAAAAATATATATTTATTTTTTTGGCACTTTTAGCACCGGTTAACCGGTGCCAAAAACATTGAATTAAATTTTTTTGGTATTTTTTGGCACCGGTTAATCGGTGCCAATTCCGATTTTTGGCACAGGTTTGAACCAGTGCCTTTTTAAACCACTTTTTGGCACCCCCCACATTGGCATCGGTTCAAACCCGACCTGGTGCCAATTTCATTTTTTTCACGTAATGTTATGTCCTAATTGCTATTTGCAACTAACCTTATATCAGGGCAAATCTCTTTCACCAAAGATCAGTCGACAGACAGTGTAGACACCTAAAAATGTCTCCCCAAAACCAAACCCGATGATGAACAACCTTTCACCGCCATTATTGGTCGGGTTGAGTATTTAATCTTGGAGTGCTTATATCCATATTTATATTTCATAAACCAACCTAACTCCTAGCCCATTTCCCCAAACCATAACTTATTTTCCTCTTTTCGTGCCTTTAAACCCAAAATAATTCATTTCGAGTCCTTTAAAATCATTCATTTCCTGTCCTTTTTTATAAAAACGTTTATTCCAATTTATTTCGGTCCATAATATGGGTCTAATGATTGGTTGGATGGGGCTTGAAAATAGATTTCCAATGATATATCATAAGCCCAAATCCGAGTTATAACGAATAAGTTATGACCAAAATATTAAACTGAGTCCAAACCGAACTTAAACCCACCTTGCCTACGACCCAATGATCATGTGGAGGGTCCAAATTATTTAATCCCATTCCTAAACCAATTAGGATTAATTAGAAGCTTCTATAAGTTTCTAAAATATCTTAATTATCCTTTTTGAAAAGATAAGATTAACGAGTTTGAAATTGAATAAAACTTTTCATTTTGAAAATCCTATTTATATCCGAATTGAAAGACGTTCAAAGATAGACATATATTATTTTCGTGCATCATAGTTTTTATCCAAATTTTATATGGTTGGATAGCCCTTGAAATTATCTTTCCAATGATATATTATAATATCAATTCCGAGATATAACGAAAAAGATATGAATTAAATAAAAAACTCTATCCAAAACTGACATCATCCCACTATTTCGGTCATGTATTTTATTATACAAAATATTTTAATCTGATTCCAATTGGTTTAGAAATTAGACTTCAATATATTTCCAACTATATCTTATTTATCTTATTTAGATTTCTGGATCAAAAGATATGATAAAAACAAAAACCGCAAAAACTGCTATCTATCGCAAGAGTTTTATCCGATTCAAATTCTTATCTTGTTTTTTCGACCCTTCTTTTTGCTCTATAAATAGAGGTCATATCTCCCCTTTTTTCAATCATCAACAAGCTTGATCATCAAATAATTCTCTTCTCCCTCTTTATCCTAAACACTAGCCTCCCTATTTTTCCACTATTTCTTCCTTTAAGCACTCTAAGGAGTCCATACAATACCCAAAGTTCTATACTTAAACCAAGGCGTGAAAGGTAAAATTGACTGAGGGTTTGGACTAAATCAACTCTACTTTTTATTTAATTTAATTTCTATTTGCTTTATATTTTTATTGAAGTTAGTAACAGTTTATTCATGTTTTAGCAATTCAAGGAAACGCGGAAAGTGAGTAATTAATCACTTAATTACTCCTATTTTTATTCTTGTTGCTAGTATCTTGATTAGGTTTTTTTATAGTTGATTTGACTAACGTTATTTTTGTTAAATTGCTTCCAATATTAATGTTTATTCTATTATTTTTTATTGATCACCATATTGCATGTTTAAAGGGAATATGTAATTGAAAATCACGCCTAATAAGATAATTTGGACAACCGGCGTAGGTTCCTTTTTAATCTTGTTGTTTAATCAAGTGATCACTAATATTGTAGAATTCTGTGTTGCATTAATATTAAACCAATTTAGCATAATAATAGTTTGGAGCAAATTGAATCTTTGTTTGTATGGCTTTGAGATCGCAGGAATCACTTTTCACTATAAGAATCGAGTAGAGGCCAATACGAGCGAATGTGACTCCATGACTCACTTCGTACTATCATCCCCGATCTTCCTTTTGTGGTTCCGAACCATATGGATTTAGTAATCTCATGGATTATGAATGGGGTGTAACCTTCACGGGTCAATCGTTGTTGCCTATCGTTGTCCCTTATCGTGGTTGCCTTAAATGATCCGAGAACGATTTACAAGTTCCTTAAAAACTTGTTGGTGGCTCCCTACTTTCCTTGTCCCTAATCGTATATGTCAATTCCCACTTCCTATGAGTGCCAAGCATATTCACCACATGCTTTAACGTAGGCGCACTTTGAACGACGCCTACAATTTGGCGACTCCACTGGGGGATTCTTGGTTATTTATCGATTTGAGTAATCGTTATTTAATTGAGATGAGTGGATGAGACTTGAAAGATTCTATAATTGTATTCCTGCGATTTAATTGGCATTGTCACATATTCATATGCATTTTAGGTCACCTATTTTGCCACAATAGTACGTGTTCTACGTATGTGGCTAGCCCGGGGGATTTAAGCTCTATCAACCCGAAAACGTTCATGACAATAAGGGTTCATCCGAGTTTTTAAATCTACCCAAACCATGGAGTCGAGTTCGATTTCATCACGAACTCACGGAGCCGCCCGTTGGCATACACCCTCAAGGGAGGCTGCCTTGCTAACGCGTCCAAACTCTTAACCATGGTACCCTTTGACACCCAAAAGCTTGACCATAGTGGAACATAGATCTTGACTCTAGGTTGCGAACTTCATTGCATCATGCGTGACGATATGCTTATATGTGCATTTTTTTTATGAACTTTTTTTAATTATTTTTTTTCTCTTATCAAACCCTTTTTTTTATTATTAGAGTCGAGCCATAGATTTTATTTTTTATTTTTTATTTTTTATTTTTGAGTCATCCGGATTTTATTCCCGTGTCCTGCACAAGAGTCAACTTGTTTTGGTCATATCCAGAGTTCTAGAAAGAGTTACGTGTCGTGCCACCTGTGGATCTGTAGCCCCGAGTTTTATCTTTCATTTGGAGTTGGTTTTGTCCCAATCAGATCACAAATCAAAAGTTATAACCAATATACTACAGCCTGTCCAGTTTAGGTGTCTTTTTAGCTTCGACTTTCTTTTTAAAAAAAAAATAAAATTATATCTTTTCTTGTCAAGCTAGTCTTAGTCAAGTCCTTTAATCCGTGTAAACTCGTATAACATAAGATTATAGATTTCGACTTTCTGCGTTTCCTTGAATTGCTAAAATTATAACACAGTTTATTTCGACTTTCTAGAATTCTAGTCCTCTTCCTATTAGTTTCTTGTGTTTTTTTGTGCTAACCTTAACATGTGTTCTTTGTATTTGATTGTGGTTGATCTTATTTATGACTAATGATTGCCAATGGACCGTTTTCACCTAGTAAATAGCGTAAACATTAAAGTTGGACAAAATTAATCAAGTTAGTTTGTCTTTTAGTCTTCCGCGCTATTTGGTCATTGAGTCCTTTGTTTTTCACAACGTCCTCATGTCTAGCCATGCGATCATACCACGAGTCTTAATAAACTCACCTAATCACACATGTTGAGTCGTTGCGCACACTTTGTCTTCGAGTAATGCACTATATTGTTTATGATGGTAAACTAGGACCATGCATGCGCCGTTTTCCATCGTAATAGGAATGGGTGGAGTATTCCCCATTGGTTTTCAAAATTCTTTCATACACTCTTCCTTTCCAATCCGATTATTGAGTCAATGCATTA